GTATTTGCAATTGTCATTGCCACGGGTGTTACTGGGAGGTTGGAGGGCTACTCTATCTTTCAGAAGAGGGCTGATGCTGCTGGTGTGGACACGGTGCATAAGGAAACGGAGTTTGCATTTGGCACGTTCAATTACAGGGGTCAGGGAAAGGCGAGTGTATATAGGAGTGGTATGGGACGGGAAGGGCAGATTGGCTACGCAGCGAACACATCGCTTGTCGAGGACAGTGAGCTGGTGCCGCTGCTGAGCCGTGAGGGCAGAGAAGAACGCGTTTGATCCATAAAGCATGTCAGGAAGTATAAGGGCAGAATAGAAGAGGAGCGACTGGCGTTCAGATAGCGACGGGCGGATGGTTCTCAGGGTGGTTAGCTTCTGGGAAGTTTTACGTACTATGCTGGAGACCTGCGCGTCCCACCGAAGACAGGAATCGATCTGTAGGCCCAGAAAGCGAGCAGTGGTGGTCTGGGTGAGAGGCGTCCCGTTGCAGTTAACGTTGAGTTCCAGGGTACTACGGCGTGATGCCTCAATGGCTAAGACCTGCGTCTTGTCAGGGTTTAAAACCAGGCCTTTCCCGTGTAGGTAGTCAGCCAAGTTTGACACAGCAACTGATAAGACTTGATTTAGGGTTGCTACGGATCTGCTTGCGGTGTCGAGAAGGATGTCATCCGCAAACAGCTGGGAGTGTGCTGGGCTGGTGACGCTATGGACGTCCATGGTATATAGTGAAAACAGCAAAGGACCCAGTACACTACCCTGAGGGACTCCACACTCGCATGCAGTTAGGCCCGAGCACTGCCCACTCGCCAGAACTACTCTCTGTCGACGGTCCGTGAAGTAGCTCGCAAACCAACGCAAAACAGTCGAAGATACACCCAAAGCAAACAAATCTTGGATCATGAGCTGGTGCCGTACTTTATCGAATGCCTTGCTCATGTCCACTAGTACTGCGCCGGTATGTAGCTGGTGGTCTGCTGACGACAGATAGCGGTCCATGGCCAAGGTCAAGGCGTCTTCCGTGGAGTGTTGTGGCCGGTACGCAAACTGATTGGCGGGCAAAAGTGAATGGGTTTGTAAGAAGTCACACAGGCGTTTGTGGACTATCTTCTCCAAGATCTTCGATGCTATTGGCAGCAAAGATATGGGACGGTAATTGCGAGATGCGTTCTTGTCACCAGACTTAAATAGGGGTCGAACATTTGCAATCTTCAGGGAGACGGGCACAATGCCAGACGAAAGGGATGCATTAATTAATATGGATAGCGACGGGGCGAGGGCTGCTGCACAATGCTTCAGGATGAATGCCGGAATACTGTCGCTGCCCTCAGCTTTACGAGCATCGAGTCTCACGAGAAAGGTGAATACCTCCTCAACACTAGTGGCCTGGAATTCCCGCAAAGGTTCCCGTGGTGACGGACCACAAGGTAAGGATAGCTGCACAGGTCTACTTGGATCGGAGACTACTCCACTGAATTGCTCGCTGAGTGCTGCTATACTGACAGAGGGTGGAGTGGGAGTTTTGGTCCGGCCGCTGAGCTCGTTTATTGTCTTCCAAGTGAGGCGCGCATTTGCCTGACTCCGTGTGAGAAGATTCTTGTAATGCTGGGCCCTGAGGCGTCGGGACATTCGCTTAGCCTCGGCTCGTGCTGATGTGAATACAGTTCGTAGATCCATGTCAGTCGGCGAGGCTCGCCAGCGACGATGTGCTGCGTTGCGAAGTAGAATAGCGTCGTGGAGGGCAGGTAATTTCCAAGGACAGGGCGTGCGGGAGGAAGATTTAGGCCGATACGTTCGGACAGGAGCGTGCTCGTCCAAAACGGAAACAATCTTGTCAGTCCAAGAATACCACATGGCATCCACAGTCTGAGCGGTTGAAAAATTCTCCAGGTCACAATGATGCAAGTCATGAGCGAATCGGTTCATATCGATCCTTGCAAGGTTACGACCGCACTTGACAGCAGGAGGTTCCATAGTGCACTTGAAAGGTAGGTCAATTACGACCGCAAAGTGGTCGCTGATGGTACAAGGGAGAACCGTGCAGGAGGTTATCGCTCCATCCACAGCTAGGGCGAGATCCAGTGTTGTTCTGCTGCCGTGGGGGGCAATGCGGGTAGTGTCCTGCACCTTGTTGCTGATATTGAACTGGTCGCAGAAGCGATGTAAATTGTCGAGCTGAGGGGCTTGGCGCCGGCTTACGTCGACATTGAAGTCGCTCGTTAAAATCAGCGGGGACGATGGCATTGACGCCGCTGCTGTGTCAACTGCGTTGGACAAGTCCTGCCAAAATTGTACTGGCGTGCCTGGAGGTCGATACACTCCTCCTAGGAGAATCCGGTTTCGATGACTTCTGATCTCCAGTAGCAAAAGTTCTATGTTGGTGTGGTCTCCCACCACTTGTGCTTGAAAGCGATTGTGGACATAGGCTGCTAGGCCACCTCCATGGCCAGGACGATCCCTCCGGAAAAGTGCATGGTTAGGTATGCTGAGCAAGCTGTCTGCGGTAGAGCTAGATAGAAAGGTTTCCGCCAGTATCATGATATCAATGTTTTGAGATCGTATGAAATCCTCAACTTCATGCTTTTTATTAAGAAGGTGGCACACATTGAGGAACCTACTCTAAGATTAAGACTAAGGCCGTTGTTGCTGTTTGATAAAGGGGCTAAATTAGGGGTGTGTGGTCTAGGATGGAATGGGATTGCATTAGGGTTTAGTGGGGTGTCGGCATTCATGATGCGGCTGAAGCTGAAGCTATCTTGTCCAAGGCGAATCTCCACTCTCGTGCACGCACCTCCGCTGGCCAGAAGTCTTCCTGCAGGGCTTTGTCGATTTGATCTGCTGGGATCACGACATGTGCGTACGCCAGTCCGAAGTACCGGGATTCTGACACCCTGCACTTCATGACTGGCAGGTCTTTTTTCTCGCACCAACCTACTATGGAATCAGCACTACATCCCATGTGGACATTGCCAAGGTGAATTGCGCGGCATTTTATCCGAGGGGCTCCACGAAAACTTGCAGGAGCTTTGGGTTTGTGCTGATAATACGAGGTGACAGTGGACTGGCCTGGCTTGTGTGCTACTTCACGGCTGGCAGTGGTAGTCTTATTTGCCAACGTGCGTGCAGGGTTTCGCGGTTTTCTCCGTTCAACGTCCTTCCACTCAGGTTCGACCGGTACGGGATCACATGTTGGTTCGCGTGGTGTACTCGTGTCAGTTGTAACCCCTGAGCTGCAAGCATTTGAATACGAGTTGCGTGTAGCAGGCCCTGAGTCAGATGTGCGTGGGTTGATCACTGATGTGGCCGTGGAGGACGTGGACTGGCCTGTTGGGGTACATGTACTCGTACGCAATTTCTGAACTTCCTCCCTGAGTGCCGCCACTTCGATTCTCAGGGAATTGTTGTCAACAACAGCTTCTTTCATGGCAGCCAATTCGTGTCGGAGTATCGGCCGGAAAATCGGCCTAGTGTGAACCAGGCTTCAGCACTAAAAATTAGTAAAAATCGGCTGGCTTTTCGGCTAAATTAAATATCGACCAGTCGATACTGTACTTGGCCGAAAACTAGTAGATCTACCACAAGAAAATCACCGCAGTCACCGGCAGCTAGCAGCGCATTCATGCTACGGCTGCATTGGCCAGCGTCCCGTGGCCGCTAGACGTGCAACCGGATTTCCATGTCCACGACAGTAGATTTTAGCCTTTTCACGCCTTTGGCTTTGGCCTTGTAGCTCGTGTAAAACAAATTTTCATTTCCGTTGTCTAGCGTCTACTACGCGTATACATACCATGGTATACGGTCCAGTGCGGCTGTGTACCGCGTGTACATGTGTAACAGACAAGCCTACAACTTTAGTATAGTGCAAGCGAAATTGCTCACCGTTGTGTGTGAACAGCTAGTCCGACTCATCCGACACAGTCGGTCGATTTCTTGTCGGAGTCGATGTGGGAGCGTCGGCCGGAAAATCGGCTAAGTGTGAACCAGGCTTTAGTCAAACCTTAGAGTAACACTACATGGAGCAAGCATGTACATGTAAGAGCGAGCGTGCAGTCGTTGCTCTGCATTGGGGTGTCGCAGAAACCAAGATTGAGAATCTGGCTCTCCTCTTCCCCTCCTCTTTTCGCATTTCCGTTGCCTCTCCCTCAAGTTGTTGTTATCGTCGTACTTGCATTCCAAAGTCGCATCACTAACAGGTGTCTATGCTTCGTGAGATTTATACGGCTAGCAGTATATCTTTATGAGGGAAAAGGAATAGAACGACTGTTGACTAGCAGAGGATGCTATTGTGATAAATTCACGGGAATTACGTCATATTGCTGTAAGTACATAAGTATGGCTTTACACTTTGAGCAGACCAGAGAACGTGGAAGACATAGCGATGGGTGAACCTGAAAGCTAGCCACGGAAGTAAGTCAGTTGCTACTGGATGCAGGCTAGTCGAAGTGATGAACGAAGAATGAAAAAAACATTAAAAACTTTCTGCGGCACATGCTACTGTAAATCAGATCTCTATCTTTCACTGCTCAGAAGTGCTAAAATTGGTGCAAAATGGAGAGTAAAAGAGAGGGCGCAGGTACCACAGTCAGGGGAGAGGGGGGAGGTGCGAGCACAACAGACTAAATATCGTAGTAGGATAGAGCTTGTCCCCAAATGTTTCCACGTGAACAAGTTGCTGCTGCTACCAAACTTCAGTGTCATCACGTGATGCAGCACCTAAGCTAGTGGCAATAGTGAGCCTGTTCTCTCACTCCCTGGCTGTGTAGCCATCGCCTCCTACATTACCATCCATTTTGCACACATTTTAGAACTTTTGAGTAACACAATACTAGTACCCAGTGGGCCAGCAAATGCATCCACAAGCTAGTACCGATCCCTCCTCAAGTTCCCACCTACCTGTTCACGCTTAGTAACTTTGCAGCTTAGGCCTAGCGCCATCCTGGACTATGTTACCGTATAAAAGGGGATGCTGCAGGCATTTCCTGTATCATATTAGTCACCTTGTGATTGTCAACTGGGCATGAAATTCCTAGTTGTGATGTCGTGTCGTCCTTCATTGCAAGGACCTATGTGATTTTTGTGATATGTCTGATAATAGTGATACGGTAAGTGTGATCTATGTGCATGGTGAATTTGTTCTGAAAACATCCTTATCCTGTTATTTAACTCTTGCAAAAAATATGCATGGTGAATGCGCAACCCGCTTCATTTATTGTGTTGAATCCTGTTATTGGTGATCTCTCCGTTCCTTGTAGAGACCATCGACGGGGTCTGGTGGTCCGCCAGCGCGGTTGCAAGTATCACCTGAATCCCGGGAGCAACCCCGGGAGCAGCCACAGCTAGCACACCAGCAACACCATCAGCAGCAACAGCAGCAATGGCCTCCCTGGACAAGCATGGACCCCAGTCAAGCTCTGGTTGGCACCTATATGAGCGGCAGTAATTCTGCCGCTGCTTTAACGCTGTACGCTTATGATACCGGCGGTAGTGGCTCGATGTCAACACCGGTGAGTTTTTGTTGCAAGAAGGACCCATGGGTGTGTGTTTTCTCTGGTAGAATAATTGCTAGGGCACTGTCCCGAGAAAGACAGGGGTGCTGGGTTTGAATCTCGCCCTTGGATCCTTCTTTTGCAACAGTTACCTCAACTCAAACACTTAAAGATGTCTCTTTGCTGCGTACGCGTCTTCATCTGCCCTGCTTCGCAACCTTCTCACGCAAAAGGGAATCATGCAGCAGGCATTCAAGGAAGCCGCCTACAAGTCTCTCCGAAGTCGAGACTGGCACTTAGCCACAGATGCCCTCTGAACCCTCCCTGAACACCCTCTCTGCTTGACCCTGGCTACCCCGTTTTTACTCTATCACATGTATCATCTTTCCATTTTCACCCTCTATACAAATGTACTCCCCCCTGTGCGTTCTCCTCCCCACTTTTTGGTGCTGAAGTGTCGCTGAAGGCGAGACCTCGGGTCACCAGAGATGCTCCAGTTTCACCACCACAATTGCGTCTGCAGCCACCTCTATCATGCAGTATTCTGTTCTTGAGGTCCGTGGTTTCTCGTACAAAACGCAAACTACAGTCCATTCATAAAAAGATGGACTTTTACTAGCTTTTGATCTTCTTCCAATTGTTGCTGAAGCCTTTTTCTCCAAAAGGAAACCCTAACACAAAGTATTTCGGCCAGGTTTTGCCCCCACAGCACTGGATTGGGAAAACCCATCAAAATCCAGGCCGTTTGACCTCCTCGCCTACAACAGTGCACTGTGTGGTCCGAACCCCAGTTCAGGTACCCTTTTTGGACCCTTTCCAAATTTAAAATTTTGCAGCCCTGCACCGTGTTTGATAAAATTGCGAAAAAATCGCCACATACTGGAGCTCACCAGGGCCAGGGCATATCTTCTGAAAGAACTGTAACCGTTATTCACCAAATACTCGGACATGGCCGATCTTCTATTGACGGTGAAAACTATTTTGACTTAAAGTATAACTAGTCATGCTACTACTATTAATAATACTGTGGATGACTTTGTATTTCTTGAATGAGTGTTTAATGACAAAAGGAGACTCAACAGTAACTGTTGCACACGTTCAGGGACATTCCCTAAGCTAGTCCAGACGGGTAATTGTCAGTTCAGCAAACAACCTTGATTAGGGACCGGCGAATTATGCACGAAAAGGTGGCAGATTCTGCTCGAAAAGCAGTGAAATTGGCAGAACCACACAAACCTTATGGCGGGCAATTCCTCGAATTCTGCTCCATTTCTTTATCCACATACCGTAAAAGCCCGTGTATAGACCCCCGGGCGTATAGAATAGCAGCCTCGATTTCCTGGGCGTATACAAGGGCACGGGCGTTATTTTGGAACCGGGCGTATACTTGGAATAGGGATAGCAGTAAGTATTGGGTATCAGTACCTGTACATGTACTGGTGTTTCCGGCATACCTGGGCGTGTACATGGGCTTGGGCGCTATTTTGAAACAAAGGTGTTGACTTCCCCTGACTGGGCGTGTACACGGAGGGTGGGCGTAATTTCGAGTGGGCGTATACACGGGCTTTTACGGTACCAAACATGAATGAAACTTACCAGAAAAAGTACCGAATTCTGCAAATTTTTCTGCCGGCAGAATCCGCCGGACCCTAACCTTGATCAAGTGTTGGATTCATTGTTCAAACTGATGCAAAAGAAGGATCCACAAGCGGGATTCGAACCCAGCACCCCTGTCTTTCCGGGACAGTGCCCTACCCATTAGGTGCTATGTGCATATGAACAGATCTTGCATTGATTCCGTCTTTCAGCGTTAAAGAACTTGGATGGATGTGCTGCTTGGATTGAGCAGAATTTGTAGATGTTTGTCAATGGTGACTTTAGCTAGGCATGTTGGCATGTTTGGAATACTGGGCTACAGTAGCAGCGCTCTTGTGCAAGTGAAAATCCTTTCCCTTTTCGGGGTTTCTGAATCACACACATATGCTCTTCTGCCGTGTCATTGACGAGGACTGGCAATGTATACTATAATTTCTTCGTGATATTGCTGATGATGTGCGCTCCTTGAAGCAGACACATGGATCCACTGCATTCTCGATGGCAATGATGCAGCAACAGCAGCAGCAGCCGCAACAACAGCAGCAGCAAGAACAACAGGAAAAGTCGCATCAACCTCCGCTACCGACGGCAACGACTGGCAGCAGGCAAGTATACCAGTATGGTAACACGCCAACGGCATCCTCCCTCAGTGGACCGAGTGGCACAGCGGTATACGCTGATACGAGCTCTCCGTACTATCGCCCTGGCAACACACCGGTGCAGCATGGTCACACATCTTACTCTGGATCATCGGTGAAGGCACTGCCGGGACACCAGAGCAGTGTGAGTAAACACACACACACACACACACACACCACACACACATACACACACACACACGCACTACGTCAGTCGCAAGAAGGGAAGACGTGTTTTGAAGAGTTTAAAAATGTCATGTTGTCACCATGGAGAAAGCAATATGCGGCACAATGTGCTTCAGTGTGATGATGAGCTCCTGAAGGTGGCTGCGCCAATTCTGTGGCTACATGTGCATGTCGCACCGGACTTCTCACAGGTGGTGAAGTGTGAGCTTCAAGAACAACACCTCCTGGTGTGGACCCAGAAATCCTTTCATGGAAGGTTTTCTGGCAAACAGAACAACTGACCAACGAGAACACCTGGTCTTGTCTGACAAAGGGCTGGTCTCAAGAAGACCACAGGAAGCCTGACCATTGCGGCACAAGACCAGGCTTTGGCTCCTTATCTGCTCCATGCCCAAATCTGTCATCAGGGCGGAAGTCCGCTATGTCGGATGTGTGGAAAGGCGGGCGAGTTGGTTGCCTTATCCTGTGCCATTGTTCAAAGCTCGCTGGACGGGATTACTTGGAGTGTTAAAATCGGCTGGTCTCTTTGGTCCACTGGTTGCTTCCATTGTGTACATGGGATACCATGTGAAGACAAGTACTACAAGCAGCACTGAGCAGCACTGTGATAGAGCATACCAAAACCTGAGTGAACATCAAGTTAGTTCCTGCACTCCTTAGATCAACTTCACTCCATAAGTCCCAGACAACAACTAAAGTTTATTCCCGTAGCTATGCAGAAGAGCGCTAGCCAGGGTCCACACAGCTTTAATTTGGTGTTTGTTTGTTTGTGTGTGTGTTTGTGTGTTTGTGTCACGCCTGGCGCTATCCCGTATCTGTCCCGTACCGTACCATCAAACACAGCTGGCCACATACAGCTGGCTTATCAAATGCAGAGCTGACAGTTGATGTGATATGCACAAGTTGGTCAACCGTGCTTCGGTGGTGGCGAAACCCGAACTGTTTCGGCGACAGTAGTTTGTGTTTCGCTACAAACGCGTACACCTGGCGGCTGATTAACGCTTCGTAGCATTTTGCCACACCATTCAGCAGAGATATCGGCCGGTAGTTAGCAGGGTCATTGCGACTTCCCTTACCCTTGTAAATTGGGGTAACGATTGCAACTTTCCACTCAAGGGGTTGGGATCGGTAAGTGGTGCAGCGGTTAAAGAGAGCAGTGAGGGATTGGGCGAGCACTTCTGCTGTCTCTCGTAGGATCCTGTTAGGAAGACTGCCAGCTGTAGACTTTCGCACACTTAGGGTCGACAGTGCCTTGAATACTTCCACGATAGACAGAGGGCGGATGGCAAATGTTTCCGAAGAAGAAGGCATGGCGAGATCACGATGATCTGCATCCGACGACGGTGTAGCTTGACTATTCTTGGCGAACTGTTGACAGAAGATGTTCGCTTTCTCAGGGTCGGTAACCGCTAAGGTATCGACTCCTTGTATATCAGGTATAGCGGTGTGAGGACAATTGATGTGGCACATTTTCTTGACTCTCTTCCACCAGTCATAAGATCCTCGATCTGCATGAAGGCCTTCTGACATCTGGTCGTAGAAGTGACGTTTAGCTTTACGGATGGCAGCGACGAGGCAGTTCCTTGAAATGCGATAAGCAGCCCAGCACTCAGGGGTATTGACACGTTTTGCTGCAGCAAATAGTCGATCTCGACGTTGACGGAGGCGATGGTGCACAGAGGTGAACCAAGGCTTTCCATAACGATTTGTTCGTTTTCGAACCTTCGGAACAAAAGATAATATGGCTGTGTCAACTAGTGTTCGCCAGGAGACCCATGCTTCATCTGTACTACTGGCTTCTTGTACAGCAGCGAGAAGAGGGAGGCTCCAAAGGTGGTTATTAAGTGCGGGCCAGTCTGTGGCTGCATAGTTGTTCACGAGCAAATCAGAGTGCACTGGTTGCTGGGAACGAGTCTGTATTGCGAGATCAAATACCACAGGACAGTGATCAGAAACAGGGGGAAGTGTGGTGAGGTTGTGGATGAGGAATGGTTGGTTACAAAGAACAAGGTCAAGGAGAGAAGAGCTCTGACCTGCGGCGGAGAAACGTGTTGGGCGGTCGCGTACAAGTTGTGTAAAACCAGTATCATCCAGCAGTTCGACAAGGCATCTTCCAGCAGCAGTGTTCGGGTCCTGCCTATACCATTCGTTGTGCCGAGCATTAAAGTCACCGAGGATGATAATGGAAGCCGTAGTGTCCGTAATGGAAGAGATGGACTCACGCAAGCCAGAGAGGAAGGTTGAATGATCCTGCCTTGGTGGCCGATAACAGCAGAAAATATAGACATCTTTGTGGCCATTTTTAAGTTGAATGCATAGGATTTCAAGGTTGGTGTTGGCAGGCTCGAGGTCTGCTCGTCTGACGTAGGCGAGTCCTGGTCGGAGTAAGAAAGCAACACCACCGCCACGCAGAGCGACATGAGATGGGCGGTCTCTTCGCACTATGTCAAAAGCGGCAGTTGGCAATAATACAGAGTTAGGAATTTTCTGAGTTAGCCAGGTTTCGGTGATGCCTAATATGTCCATGTCTGAAGTACCAAATATGTTATTAATTTCATCGGCCTTTGGATACCAGCTGCAAGCATTGGTTGTGGCTAGCCGCATATGATGGGGATGTTTGTTTGGTATGAAGGCTGAGGTATCGTATGGTGATGGGAGAGTGAAGGTAGGTGCATCTGGGTTCAGTTGCCCTGACACACTGTTAGATGATGGTGTCGATGTGGTCCTAGTGGGAAAAAAGATGGGTGCGTGTGGATTCAACATCACAGTTTATGATTTCTTGGGGAGGGGTGGGTTCTTGAACTTCCATTCTCGTGCTGTTACATGCTCGGGCCAGAAATCGTTTTCCAGAACATTTCTTTCGTCATGCTCAGCAACTGTCAGATGTGCGTACAACGTGCCATACACTGTTCTGGAGGGGATCAGTTTACAGCCAGTAACTTCCACATTCTTCTTTCTACAGTACGCAACAAGATCATCAGCACTGCAGTTGATATTGATGCCCCCAACGAATACAACTCTGCGTGTTATTTTCTTACCTCCACGCAGATCTGCGGGCTTCCTGTGGCGGTTGGCGGCTTCACGTACGATCGACCAGTCGTACTTGGTGCTGACAGGCTTGTCAGTAGTACGACTGGCGTTGCTTGTTCGTGGTGTAGAGAAGGTACGACTAGCGTACGTCTCGCCCAGAGCTGCGGTTTCAAGCCCTGTTGGTGCGGATGCGGGTACTGGTACACCCGTGGCGGGAATGTTTGTAGCTGCTCGGTACGAGTACTCATCCTGGTGGCTGTCGAGGGCGCGATTAGAGACATCGATGGGCTGGTGATGTTGTGTCAGGGCGCGAAGCTCCTCCCTGAGTTCTGCAATGGCGGCATCTTTTCTTTTCTCCTTTTCGAGAGAGATTTTTCGTAGGTCGAAAACTTCTGCTACCAGGTTTCGGACCGTCTCCATCAGGTCAACCATCATCTTCGTTAGCGCAGTAGCATCAGTACTGGTACATTCACATCCGCCTGCCTGCTTTGTGACCCTGTGTGTGTCGATCTGATCGTCCAGTGGTTGCAACTTTCCCCTCAGGGCGCCAACCAATTGCACCCGGCTCAGGCCGGCCCACTTGACGTTATTGGCCTTTGCCAGTGACTCCAAGCCTTCACTATCCAAAATTCCGAAGTCAATGGACGCCATGCTCCCGGTTGGGGGAGCAAGACGTCAGACGTAAAAAAACTCGCAACCACACTCGTCAACTACAAAAATTCGAGTCCGACTCACCCGACACAGTCGGCCGACTCCGTGTCGGAGTCGGTGTCTGAGTATCGGCCGGAAAATCGGCCTAGTGTGAACCAGGCTTCAGCACTAAAAATTAGTAAAAATCGGCTGGCTTTTCGGCTAAATTAAATATCGACCAGTCGATACTTGGCCGAAAACTACGACAAGAAAATCGCCGCAGTCACCGGCAGCTAGCAGCGCATTCATGCTACGGCTGCATTGGCCAGCGTCCTGTGGCCGCTAGACGTGCAACCGGATTTCCATGTCCACGACAGTAGATTTTAGCCTTTTCACGCCTTTGCCTTTGGTCTGTAGCTCGTGTAAAACTAATTATTTTCATTTCCGTTGTCTAGCGTCTACTACGCGTATACGGTCCAGTGCGGCTGTGTACAGCGTGTACATGTGTAACAGACAAGCCTACAACTTTAGTAAAGTGCAAGCGAAATAATTGCTCACCGTTGTGTGTGAACAGCTAGTCCGACTCATCCGACACAGTCGGTCGATTCCTTGTCGGAGTCGATGTGGGAGCGTTGGCCGGAAAATCGGCCTAGTGTGAACCAGGCTTTAGTCAAACCTTAGAGTAACACTACGACGTCATGGAGCAAGCACGTACATGTAAGAGCGAGCGTGCAGTCGTTGCTCTGCATTGGGGTGTCGCAGAAACCAAGATTGAGAATCTGGCTCTCCTCTTCCCCTCCTCTTTTCGCATTTCCGTTGCCTCTCCCTCAAGTTGTTGTTATCGTCGTACCTTCATTCCAAAGTCGCATCACTAACAGGTGTCTATGCTTCGTGAGATTTATACGGCTAGCAGTATATCTTTATGAGGGAAAAGGAATAGAACGACTGTTGACTAGCAGAGGATGCTATTGTGATAAATTCACGGGAATTACGTCATATTGCTGTAAGTACATACGTATGGCCTCACACTTTGAGCAGACCAGAGAACGTGGAAGACATAGCGATGGGTGAACCTGAAAGCCACAGAAGTAAGTCAGTTGCTACTGGATGCAGGCTAGTGGAAGTGATGAACGAATAATGAATAAACATTTTAACTCTCTGCAGCACATGCTACTGTTAATCAGATCTCTATCTTTCACTGCTCACAAGTGCTAAAATTGGTGCAAAATGGAGAGTAAAAGAGAGAGCGCAGGTACCACAGTCAGGGGAGGGGGGGGGGGGGAGGGGGGAGGTGCGAGCACAACAGACTAAATATCGTAGTAGGATAGAGCTTGTCCCCAAATGTTTCCACGTGAACAAGTTGCTGCAGCTACCAAACTTCAGTATCATCACGTGATGCAGCACCTCCTAAGCTAGTGGCAATAGTGAGCCTGTTCTCGCACTCCCTGGCTGTGTAGCCATCGCCTCCTACATTACCATCCATTTTTGCACAAATTTTAGAACTTTTGAGTAACACAATACTAGTACCCAGTGGGCCAGCAAATGCATCCACAAGCTAGCACCGATCCCTCCTCCTCTTAAGTTCTCACCTACCTGTTCACGCTTAGTAACTTTGCGGCTTAGGCCTAGCGCCATCCTGGACTATGTTACCGTATAAAAGGGGATGCTGCAGGCATTTCCTGTATCATATTAGTCACCTTGTGATTGTCAGCTGGGCATGAAATTCCTAGTTGTGATGTCGTGTCGTCCTTCATTGCAAGGACCTATGTGATTTTTGTGATATGTCTGATAATAGTGATACGGTAAGTGTGACCTATGTGCATGGTGAATTTGTTCTGAAAACATCCTAATCCTGTTATTTAACTCTTGCAAAAATATGCATGGTGAATGCGCAACCCGCTTCATTTATTGTGTTGAATCCTGTTATTGGTGATCTCTCCGTTCCTTGTAGAGACCACCGGCGGGGTCTGGTGGTCCACCAGCGCGGTTGCAAGTATCACCTGAATCCCGGGAGCAAGCCCGGGAGCAGCCACAGCTAGCACACCAGCAACACCATCAGCAGCAACAGCAGCAATGGCCTCCCTGGACAAGCATGGACCCCAGTCAAGCTCTGGTTGGCACCTATATGAGCGGCAGTAATTCTGCCGCTGCTTTAACGCTGTACGCTTATGATACCGGCGGTAGTGGCTCGATGTTAACACCGGTGAGTTTTTGTTGCAAGAAGGACCCATGGGTGTGTGTTTTCTCTGGTAGAATAATTGCTAGGGCACTGTCCCGAGAAAGACAGGGGTGCTGGGTTTGAATCTCGCCCTTGGATCCTTCTTTTGCAACAGTTACCTCAACTCAAACACTTAAAGATGTCTCTTTGCTGCGTACGCGTCTTCATCTGCCCTGCTTCGCAACCTTCTCATGCAAAAGGGAATCATGCAGCAGGCATTCAAGGAAGCCGCCTACAAGTCTCTCCGAAGTCGAGACTGGCACTTAGTCACAGATGCCCTCTGAACCCTCCCTGAACACCCTCTCTGCTTGACCCTGGCTACCCCGTTTTTACTCTATCACATGTATCATCTTTCCATTTTCACCCTCTATACAAATGTACTCCCCCCTGTGCGTTCTCCTCCCCACTTTTTGGTGCTGAAGTGTCGCTGAAGGCGAGACCTCGGGTCACCAGAGATGCTCCATTTTCATCACCACAATTGCGTCTGCAGCCACCTCTATCATGCAGTATTCTGTTCTTGAGGTGCGTGGTTACTCGAACAAAATGCAAACAACAGTCCATTCACAAAAAGATGGACTTTTACTAGCTTTTGACCATAAATGGGTCAAACTTTGAGTTTTTTCCCGAATCCCCTTTGGAATCTTCTTCCAATTGTTGCTGAAGCCTTTTTCTCCAAAAGGAAACCCTAACACAAAAAGTATTTCGGCCAGGTTTTGCCCCCACAGCACTGGATTGGGAAAACCCATCAAAATCCAGGCCGTTTGACCTCCTCGCCTACAACAGTGCACTTTGTGGTTCGAACCCCAGTTCAGGTACCCTTTTTGGACCCTTTTCAAATTTCAAATTTTGCAGCCCTGCACCGTGTTTGATAAAATTGCGAAAAAATCGCCACATACTGGAGCTCACCAGGGCCAGGGCATATTATTCTAAAAGGACTGTAACCGTTATTCACCAAATTCTCGGCCATGGCCGATCTTCTATTGACGGTGAAAACTATTTTGACTTAAAGTATAACTAGTCATGCTACTACTATTAATAATACTGTGGATGACTTTGTATTTCTTGAATGAGTGTTTAATGACAAAAGGAGACTCAACAGTAACTGTTGCACACGTTCAGGGACATTCCCTAAGCTAGTCCAGACGGGTAATTGTCAGTTCAGCAAACAACCTTGATTAGGGACCGGCGAATTATGCACGAAAAGGTGGCAGATTCTGCTCGAAAAGCAGTGAAATTGGCAGAACCACACAAACCTTATGGCGGGCAATTCCTCGAATTCTGCTCCATTTCTTTATCCACATACCGTAAAAGCCCGTGTATAGACCCCCAGGCGTATAGAATAGCAGCTTCGATTTCCTGGGCGTATACAAGGGCACGGGCGTTATTTTGGAACCGGGCGTATACTTGGAATAGGGATAGTAGTAAGTATTGGGTATCAGTACCTGTACATGTACTGGTGTGTCCGGCATACCTGGGCGTGTACATGGGCTTGGGCGCTATTTTGAAACAAAATTGTTGACTTCCCCTGACTGGGCGTGTACACGGAGGGTGGGCGTAATTTCGAGTGGGCGTATACACGGGCTTTTACGGTACCAAACATGAATGAAACTTACCAGAAAAAGTACCGAATTCTGCAAGTTTTTCTGCCGGCAGAATCCGCCGGACCCTAACCTTGATCCAGTATTGGATTCATTGTTCAAACTGTTGCAAAAGAAGGATCCACAAGCGGGATTCGAACCCAGCACCCCTGTCTTTCCGGGACAGTGCCCTACCCATTAGGTGCTATGTGCATATGAACAGATCTTGCATTGATTCCGTCTTTCAGCGTTAAAGAACTTGGATGGATGTGCTGCTTGGATTGAGCAGAATTTGTAGATGTTTGTCAATGGTGACTTTAGCTAGGCATGTTGGCATGTTTGGAATACTGGGCTACAGTAGCAGCGCTCTTGTGCAAGTGAAAATCCTTTCCCTTTTCGGGGTTTCTGAATCACACACATATGCTCTTTTGCCGTGTCATTGACGAGGACTGGCAGTGTATACTATAATTTCTTCGTGATATTGCTGATGATGTGCGCTCCTTGAAGCAGACACATGGATCCACTGCATTCTCGATGGCAATGATGCAGCAACAGCAGCAGCAGCCGCAACAACAGCAGCAGCAAGAACAACAGGAAAAGTCGCATCAACCTCCGCTACCGACGGCAACGACTGGCAGCAGTCAAGTATACCAGTATGGTAACACGCCAACGGCATCCTCCCTCAGTGGACCGAGTGGCACAGCGGTATACGCTTATAAGAGCTCTCCGTACTATCGCCCTGGCAACACACCGATGCAGCATGGTCACACATCTTACTCTGGATCATCGGTGAAGGCACTGCCGGGACACCAGAGCAGTGTGAGTAACACACACACACACACACACACACACACACACACACACCACACATACACACACGCACTACGTCAGTCGCAAGAAGGGAAGACGTGTTTAAAAATGTCATGTTGTCACCATGGAGAAAGCAATATGCGGCACAATGTGTTTCAGTGTGACGATGAGCTCCTGAAGGTGGCTGCGCCAATTCTGTGGCTACATGTGCATGTCGCACCGGACTTCTCACAGGTGGTGAAGTGTGAGCTTCAAGAACAACACCTCCTGGTGTGGACCCAGAAATCCTTTCATGGAAGGTTTTTCTGGCAAACAGAACAACTGACCAACGAGAACACCTGGTCTTGTCTGACAAAGGGCTGGTCTCGAGAAGACCACAGGAAGCCTGAACATTGCGGCACAAGACCAGGCTTTGGCTCCTTATCTGCTCCATGCCCAAATCTGTCATCAGGGCGGAAGCCCGCTATGTCGGATGTGTGGAAAGGCGGGCGAGTTGGTTGCTTTATCCTGTGCCAAAGCTCGCTGGACGGGATTACTTGGAGTGTTAAAATCGGCTGGTCTCTTTGGTCCACTGGTTGCTTCCATTGTGTACATGGGATACCATGTGAAGACAAGTACTACAAGCAGCACTGAGCAGCACTGTGATCCAGTGATAGAGCATACCAAAACCTATAATGTTCCTGAGTGAACATCAAGTTAGTTCCTGCACTCCTTAGATCAACTTCACTCCATAAGTCCGAGACAACAACTAGAGTTTATTCCCGTAGCTATGCAGAAGAGCGCTAGCCAGGGTCCACACAGCTTTAATTTGGTGTTTGTTTGTTTGTGTGTGTGTTTGTGTGTTTGTGTCACGCCTGGCGCTATCCCGTATCTGTCCCGTACTGTACCATCAAACACAGCTGGCCACATACAGCTGGCCACAATATTCAAATAGGGCCATTAAACGCAAGATCATAACGTGAAGCAACTTGGAAGAATGAGTATGAATGCGAAGTGTATGGGGGAATGCATGTAGGGCGATAGTGCGGGTTCGAACCCCAGGTAATGCCTGAAAAAAATAGTCTAAAAACAAAAAGTAGAAACTTACATGAATTTATAACATCCCTATGCTTTTTTTGTCTTGGTCATCAAGGCAAAAAAGCATAGCGTAGGGCCCTGAGCTTCCACGCTCTCTCGTTCACATAGAACAAGGAAAGACAAATTCGTTGATCCCCGAGCTGCAGAGTTGTCTGATGATAGAACCAGGAAAGATAAAGATGCACAACCAAGATCCATAAAATTTACTATATGTACACAGTACGGGAATGCATAGGGATAACCGGTCCTGGAACGAATCGGGTACAACAACGGAACCACAACAAAACCGATGCATCGGAACAAGAGCTCCCTGCCCCGAGGATGATGTGTCTGAAGCTAGAGATACTTCACATGTCACGTCTCTCCGCAGGACCAGAATATCAAGGTTGTCTGGAAATCCACCACCTTTTTTTCTTTCTTTCTTCTTTTTCCCTGTTCCACTTTTGGTAGTCTGTACAGATATTGGGTGACGACATGCTACCGGGAATGGGTGCCACTGGCACTCTTTACTACGGCGGCACAGAACAGTCTTATCCGGGTGGCACAGGAAGTAAGGCAGTTTGATGTATGCTGCTGTTGTCCAGGGTTGTGGTGGGATATGATTTTGACACGGCGTAGCCGGCCGTAGGAATGCTGCTGGTATGCTGGTGTGCTCAAGCTGACTGTGTGGAAATTGTGAAATTATATTACGAAGTACAAGTACTGATGGTGCTTCTCTTGTGTTGAGGTGCTTCTCTTGTGGGTGGCAACATTGACAAGAATACTCTTCTTTGTTGATAGCACTTGAATCAGTCACTGCTGTCTTGGGAGTACAGCTGTCCACATCTAACTGTACGAGTTTCATCACCGGGACACTCAGACACGCGCTGCTGCAGAGTGCTTATAACGACTTGGTGCTGAATCCATGAGTAATTCTAGTTCTTTTCGAGCCTGTTTGGCTGTACTCCGCAAAAGCGGATAGTCCTTTAGGGGTTTTATGTCGGGCCCTAGACGACGGCTACAATGGCCAACCGGACAAGAAAGAAGTTGAGGCCAAAGAGAATGTTTTATTTTCTTGCACATACTTATTATGTAGTATGACATAGTAGACGGGAGTCAGGCCGCTACAATCCCATAATGACCAATATAATGCCGGAATTATCCCCTGTAGTAGACGGGAGTCAGGCCGCTACAATCCCATAATGACCAATATAATGCCAGAATTATCCCCTGTAGTAGACGGGAGTCAGGCCGCTACAATCCCATAATGACCAATATAATGCCGGAATTATCCCCTGTAGTAGACGGGAGTCAGGCCGCTACAATCCCATAATGACCAATATAATGCCCGAATTATCCCCTGTAGTAGACGGGAGTCAGGCCGCTACAATTCCATGATGACCAATATAATGCCGGAATTACAGTCGTCCCTGGACCCTAGTGCTTAGGCGTAGAGTATGGTAGCCACTATTTTTTCTGCTGCTGCTGCTGCTGCTGCTGCTACTTCTACAACTTTACCAGCTGGTGAAGACTTATGGAAGCGTTAGTCTGATTCTCTTTGCTATTCTCCAATACCGTATATTCTCTATTACAAGCGCAGTCTCTTGCAAAAGCCCAGTCTCTATCGATAAGCGCACTCCAAGAGGGCTTCGAAGATATACAAGCGCAGTCACCAATATAAGCGCAGGGCTTATAATGGAGAACCGTATGGATCATGTCCATGCATGTTTGACGTCACACAGTATCACATAAACACATGCTGTGGTAAAAGTCTGTGATCCCCGAGGTCTAAAGTGCAGACTCAGTGTACCAGGAAGCACAAAACTGCAGTCCTGGTACCTGCTGGGAAACTTTCTGATACTGATATAATGAAAAATGATAAGCAATGAACATGTACCAGGTGGTTAAAAACTTATAAGCCCAGACTCTAGTAGAATCCCAGTCTCCAATATAAGCCCAGGGTCCAGACTGGTTGAAAAGACATAAGCGCTGGGCTCATAGTGGAGATAATACAGTTATGTGTGTGTTGGTGTGTGTACGTGTGTGTGTGTGTACGTGTGTGTGTGTGTGTACGTGTGTGTGTGTTCTCTAGGGGGTGGAATGCATCCTAGCAGCATGCCACAACCCAGCATGACTGCATCGGCGACGAGCGGCACCTCCGTTACCATGCCGTTAATGGCCGCCAGCATGGCGGTTGGCGGTGGCGATGGCAGCGTGGTGAGCATTGCCATAGTTTGTTTGTTTGTTTGTATACTTTATTTGAATTCGCTAAACCAAACGAGCACACATGCTTAATGACAAGGCAGTGAATATGTTAATATTATGTTACAGGGAAGGAGAGTTGGGGAGAAAATAATGAGAAAGAAGAGAGAATGGTAGACATCTCAATGAAGAGCGAAGCGTTATCAAAACTACAAGTAGGCCAGCGAATGACAGTTCTGTGAACCGCCTAATAAGACACTCTTAAAACTAAGTACTAACCGCTAACGAGAGAACTTGCTACTAACATCGGGAGGGTTCAGCTCTGCCCTGCCAGTTACGGACTTACGGGGGTCGCCATGGCAAATAATTAGGGGTGAAAGTTGGCTCTGAGATCCCGAGTTCGAATACTCTAATTTTCTCCGATCGAATATTCGAGTATACGTGTATCCTTCATCTTCCAAAAATTGCACACCAAGAGACGACAGTGCTCTGACTGCATCCGGTAGGACGTTCCAAAGGGCTCTACCTTAGGAGGCAGGGCGAGATTGTCTGGTGCGGGTTCATGTACCTGGCAGACGGAGCCCAAGGGCAAGATCCAGGCGCGTCCTACGATATCTTGGAGGGATGGACTCACACTTGCGTGTATGCACCGCCAGACGAAGATCAGAACCTTCTGCCAATGTACTTCTCCAGTCCTGAACACCTGCATGCGTTCCAGGAGATCACTGGCATGGGAGCACCCTGGCCGGCCCTAAACTGCTCTTGCCCCACGGTTTTGTGCTACTTGGAGCCGATCGGTCTGGGCCTGAGTGAGTCCTGGGCTAAACGCAACTGACCCATACGGTAGATCCGGCATGATAGCTGCCTTGAAGAACACGGATAGCCAGTGTTAGTGACTTCCGTGTCCGCCACAGACTTCCAATTTTCTTATTAGCTTTCATGATGATCGCATCGACCTGGGGCTGCCATGACATGCGTACATCCAAGATGACGCCAAGGTAGCGGGCACTGGTGAAGCTTGGCACGGGCGTGTCATCGCACTTTACCACAATGTTGGGGCTCTGGGCATGGGATCCTGCAAAGACAAGGAGCTGACTCTTGGTGGCGTTGAGGATGAGACCACGGGAGGCTGGCCAGCGAGCTAGGCTAGAGAAGGATGCTGTGAGATCAGACGAAACGAGGTCAGTGCTGAGGCGGCTAGAAGTTAAGGCTATATCATCTGCAAACTGGATTGACATAGTCGGGGAGGCAACAGTCGGTACATCTCTAGTGTATATGCTGAAGAGCAGCGGCCCCAGGACCGAATGCTGCGGAACACCGCAGGTGCATGTAACAACCCTGCCGAGTCCGGTACCAGTGCGCACTTGCTGTTGGCGACTTGACAGGTATTGTTTGAACCAAGTCAGTGCTCCTCCAGTAACGCCAATGTCAAAAAGATCCTGGATAAGAATGCTGTGTTTGACTTTATCGAAGGCTTTCCACATATCTAGTAGGCAGGTTGCCACAACTAGACCGTCATCTCGCCCAGTGTTGACTCTGTCAGATAGCAGGGCAGGAGCATCTTCCGTAGAGTGCCCATGACGGAACGCAAATTGGGTCACTGGCAAGATGTTCATCCGTGCGACATGTTTCACCAACGATTTCTGCACGACCTTCTCAAGTATCTTGGACAGTATTGGTAGCAGTGATGCCGGTCAGATATTTTTGGGAACAAAGGGATCGCCAGCCTTGTGGAGCGGAGCAACGTGAGC